GATCTCCTTCTAATTTTTTGAATAAAACACAATTAAAAATTAAAATTAAAATTATTTTTTTTAATTGGGTCGAACTAGGCAAGAACAAAATTGAGATTGCAATCAAATTCTGCAAATACTACATCATCAAGCAATCTCCTTCAAATTTTTTGAATAAAACACAATTAAAAAAATAAAAATAATTTTTTTTAACTAGGTTGGACCTGGTTCAATGCATTTAGCTTTGGACCAGACCTAGTTCGATCGGAATAGTGGAGAGTGACTCCACACACTTCACTCTTCACGTGAATAATGGAGTTTTATTTTTCACTGAACATTCGCAGGTTTGCGAAAAGCAGCTAAGAGCTGCTTCAGTAAACCCACAGTTTAAATAAAATCTGCATAGGCCCACATACATGGTAAATTGTGTTTTGACATTACCAAACAGGTTGCGCCTGCGTTTTGCTTCAAATGTAGACGGAACTTCCTAAACTTTGGTCACTAATGGTAAAGGTGATGCGAACCTCGTGATCACATGGTTATGCAACCCACACGCAAAGATGCCAATTCCCGGAAAGCCAAGTAAATCAGGTTTGATAGGAGTGTGACACAAAGATAACTTATACCTAGGTACCAGCACTATTGAAAACAAAAACCCCCACCCAACGAATATTGATTCGCGAACGAGAAGTATAAGGATGACGCCACGAAGACAGTTGTTCTTTAATAAGTCGTTTTCAGTTCTTTAGAGAACCAAGGAAGGGAGATTATCCCACCAACACACAATAAGTGCAACAAAGAAGTTTTATTAATCTGAAAATTGCGTAACCTTTACATGTTTGGGTTATGCCTTTATTTATACTGAATTTGAACTTAAAGAAACCCTAATGGACCTCCCTTAGGTGGACTTATATGAAGCCCACTTACAATTGACCCAAATAAGTAATAATAACCCAAAAACTAAGAAAAAATTTCTAAAAATACTAAAAATCCGAAAATACCATCCTAAATAAGCTAGAATCAGATTTGTCACCCTTAAGAAGTCCTAAACAAAATTGGAAAAATCTGATTTGGAAAATTTGTGTTGCTGCCCCCTTTGATGTCCTTGATTAGCTTGGAATTCCTTGTTTAACTTGGACAAATAAGAAAAAAAAATTTCTCCTTTGTTGCTGATTTAATTACTTTCCTTCCTAAGTGAGGAAAAGCATTAAATAGTCCTCCCCTCTTTAGGAATAAGATTTGGCCAACTTCCTTACTTAGTTAGGAGAATAAATTGCTGACTCTTTATCCTTGTAGTATTAGAAAAAGACAAGCCTAACAAGGCTGGTATTGGGCCGGACACATCAACCCCTTGTTCCACATGAATTGGGCTCTTCTTGGACCTGAACTAAATGAATTAAAGGCTGTCTTTCATGCTCCTTAAATGTCCCAAGCCCCTCTAGGTCCATTTTGTTCCATATGTTCTGAACAAACCCATTCAATACTTCTTTAAACTTCTTAGCCCTAGCTCTTGTGATTGGCCCAATTGGCACCTCCAATGGGTTGTTGGCATGATTATACTTGGTGTTAAGCTGATCCGCATCAAAAGGTCTTAGGCTTAAGATTAGATTCAGGGTTTGAATCTCACTGGCTATATTTTCTTGGGGTCATGTCCCCTAGTGTAAAAAAATTGTTGACTTATCCAATTCTTGTGTGAGAAATTTCTACGGGCATGAGTACAAGAGCCTAGAGATTTAGTCGAAATACGTATAAACTAATCCGAATACATTGGTTACAAAATAAAAAAACTATATTTAATAATAATCAATAACACAACACACTAACTACAATACCATTATTCATTTAAAGGAAGGAAATGCACAAAAAGATATTATTAAATTTTTATCCCTATAGACTCCATTCTAATCCACGTATCATCAGGATTAACTCTAATACAAGAATTGATGTTTTCAAGATTTTTTATTTTTCCATGTATACTTTATGGCTCAATAAAGCTAATTACAGGCAAGGAACACCTTTTAAATTAATTTTTGTAAATGAAAAATTACTTTTATTCTTTATATATAAGATTTTTTTATTAAATTTTGACTCAATATATAAAGGATTATCAACTATATAAATATTATGATATAAAATATAATTTTTAAAACTATGAAGAGAAAGTGAACTTGCATTTAAATTTTGAGAGAGCCAAAGTAATTTTTTCTCCTAAAAATTTTAAGTTTTCTTTATTGGATATTATCATATGTATCATATGTATGGTGGCCTAGAAGAAAAAGATAAAAGAAAAACATGAAAAGTGAGAGAAAAAACTTGGGGCTGAAACTTTTTGCAAACAAAAGAATCGAAATTGGAAAAAGTTAAAGTAAACTGTAGGAATCTAAGTTGAATATTTTGAAAATCATAGGGACTAAAATATAGTTTGGAGCTTGGAGTTCGGAGGAGATAGCGAGAAGAGAGTTCAAAAAGAACTCATAAAATGGGATTACTGGTTAACGTGAACCAAGCAAAAGAAAAGAAAGTTCCTCTTGTTTTCATATATATATATATATATGTATATTCTCCACCACCTAAAATATAATCTTTCCTTCTATATCTTTCTCTCTTAGATATCTTGCCTTGCCTCTTGTTAGTACTTCTTGCCCTGTTATCCACACCTTTTCACTTAAGAGACACAACAAGCTTACATTCTCTGTCTGGTCCCTTGTTCTGGGCCAAACTACTGAGGTGGGAATTCATTTTTTAGCTCTGTATGTTCTGTTTTTCGTTTGAATTTTGATTGCTGTATGGATTTGGCTTACTGTTTTGATACCATCGGCGTTTTCTTGAATACTTGAATGCTTTTCTTGTTTAATTTGGTGTCCGTTTCTTGATTTGGAGATTCTGGCTTTTTCTTTGTTGAAGTACTTTCTTGTCAGCCAACTTCAGAAGTTAATTCAATGTAGACAATAAATCTTTAGAGGAATATGAAATCCATGGAATGGCCAAATATAAATATGGATCATGATTACTGAACAAATTCAGAGTTTCTTGATAGACATGATATATTTTCATTGAATCTTCTGATGCTTATTGAACTTAGATGCTTAAAATCTAAGAAAAAGCTATTGAATGGGGTTTACAGTTGCATAAAATAGGGTTGAAATTTGGATGTGTATAAGCTATGTCTAAGTGCTTTTAGGTTCGTAAAGGCTAAAGCCCCCCTCCATCTGCATCTCTAGGATCCCTTTTCTAGTTGCCTAATATTACCTTGCAATCATCTTCTTTGGGAGACAATTCTAACATGGGGGGTGAAACTTGATTGATTCTGACAATCTCTTGATGAGCAAATGGACCCAAGGTGTTCTTTTAAGATTTACATAGCTTTCTGAAAGGACCTATCGTCCCTATTATATGTTTTGAACCCAACGTGTTCTAAGGATCTCTAGTATCCGTTGGCTGATTCTTATTTTTGATTTATCATGTGTTATATCATTAGCATGCGCGTATTAATCTCTTAATTTTGATTAATTCATAAAATTTTACATCTTGATGTTCTATATTGAGAGATTAATTGCAGGTGCTTTCCTTATTTCATTGAAAAATAATGCTAGGAGAAAATACAGTTAATCCTGAAGGAGAATTCAAGATCAGTTTTGGTTATGAATGCAATGCCCATAACAGTTGCTCTTGCATGGTTCCTAGTGGATTAGAAAGTCTTCCTGGAAAAATCCCTAAGAATAGCAGCTTCTCTCGCTTGTCTGGTGCTGCCTTAAGTGCGAATGCCACATTGGCCAACACAAATATCTGCAATGGTGTAATAGGGGCAGAAATACTTCCCAGTTGGGATTCCCCTAATTCGTTTCGTAGGATTCCTTCATCACCATCTCTTTCAAGGTTGGATGTATTATCATCTTCTCTTCAAAGCAGTATGTCAAGCCTAAGTTGTAGTCCACCCACCCCAAGTCCACCTGAATATGATTCTTGTTCATTTAGATCCATGAGTGCTCCTTCTAGAAATGAAGGTTTTCTTAATGCAATGGAAGTTCAAGTGGCAGGTGGAGCTGCTGGTGAAGACAGGGTTCAAGCTGTCTGTTCTGAAGAAAATGGCTGGCTCTTTTGTGCAATCTATGATGGCTTCAATGGAAGAGATGCAGCTGATTTTCTGGCTGGGACATTATATGAGAACATCATACATCAGACTAGATTATTAGATTGTGACTTGAAGCAGGATGTTACCGGAACTTCGAACTATCCACACGGTCCCTTTCAACATGCTTTCAAGGGAGCTAATAATGGTCATGTAGAGAAACCACCGACAGGAACTTTTGATAAGAACAATTCAAGCATAAAAAAGTCCATTAATAATGCTCTAGTTCATGATTCATCTGATTCATTTAGACAGGGGATGCTAGATAGCCTTCAGCGTGCCCTTAGTCAGGCTGAGAATGATTTCTTGTACATGGTAGAGCAGGAAATGGAGGATCGCCCTGATTTAGTATCTGTTGGTTCATGTGTCTTGGTCGGCCTTCTTCACGGGATGGATTTGTATACACTTAATCTGGGTGATAGCAGAGCTGTATTGGCAACATACGATGAGGGCAGCAATATGAAGGGCTTTGGGCGAATAAAACCTATCCAGCTCACTGATTCTCACACTGTAGATAATGAACTTGAAAGAACTAGAGTGTTGTCTGATCATCCCGATGACCCAGCAGTGATTGCAGGTGGAAAAGTTAAGGGAAAACTGAAGGTCACTCGAGCCTTGGGAGTTGGATACTTAAAAAAGGTTTGTAAAATATTCATTCAATTTATCTCCATAATCAAGTTAGCAATGACATTCCAAAAGAACCATTGTACATGGACCTGAAATTCTTACTCTATTTGTAATGTTTGCCTTTTCTTTTTCATGAAGAAAAACCTAAACGATGCACTGATGGGTATTCTTCGAGTTCGTAACCTCATAAGCCCTCCATACATTTCTACTGAACCATCGCTGAATGTGCATAGGATATCAAAATCAGATCACTTTGTTATCGTTGGCAGCGATGGTTTGTTTGATTTCTTCAGTAATGATGAGGCAGTAAAGCTTGTGCATTCTTACATCATGAGCAACCCCAATGGTGATCCAGCAAAGTTTCTACTAGAGCAGCTTGTAGGGAGAGCTGCTGATTGTGCAGGTAAATTCCTTGATACCACATGTGTCCTTTTTTCCAATTTATTCATTATAAATTCCTTAACAATTTAGCATTGCTATTGCAGGTTTCAGCATGGAAGAATTGAGGAATATTCCAGCAGGTAGGAGGAGAAAATACCATGATGATGTAACTGTAATTGTGATTATTCTTGGAATAAACCAGCGCACCTCCAAGGCATCAACTTGGGTGTAAGTTTTATGGGACTGTTCTCTGTCTTGCAATAGAATATTTGGTTCTCTCTATTGTGTAGTTATAGGTTTCAAATTGCACATATATGATGCCAGACCATGTTGATCTGTGGAAAATTTGATCATCCTCCAATTTTATGATCTCAGAATTAGCACGAGTGTTTTTTTTTTATTCTTTGAACTGTGCATGAGTGTCTAAAATAGGACTTTTTATATTTTCTTTTGGTCAAAATGAATTGGACTTTTCCTATAAACAAAAAAGAAAGGAAGAACAAAAACTTTCTCATCAAAATAGTCAGTCTGTATATTTTGTTTAAGATTAAGAATCACTTTCGAAAGGATGGTCCAGCATGGTTGCAGCTTCCTGTCTTTTCATGTCAATTCGATCCCACTAGTTTTTGCTCCTATCTTCCTTTTGGTTTCTCTGCCTTACAAGCTTCTGAAAGTGGAACTACTATATTAAAATGCTTCTGCTTTTCGTGTTTTTTGAACTTTATTCCACTGGTTTCTGTAAGCTCTTAGGCCCACAAACAAACGCTCCTCTTTTAATCACACAAAGTAGTTGCTTTAGAATCTTAAAAACTCGGATTGCCATTGATTGTGGGATTGAATTCAGCCTTCTCTCATGCTGCCTTTTCATCTTTATGCAAAGAAACAAGAAAACTACTAAGCATTTTATATTATTGAAAAGACAAGTAAAATTAACACAAATTCCTGCATAATAAAAGTCACCACACAAAAGTTCTATTTTGAAATTTTATTATTTAATATTTTTTTAATAAAAAAATTAATATTACAAATTTTCTAGGCTGCTTATATATACTAAGATATAGAGTTCTAAACTAAACAGGGAAAATAATTCTAAATCAATTAAGAAAATATTATACATTCTAAATTGTAATATCTAGGTCTAATTTGAAGGTTTTCTAATTTGAAGGTTTTTTTTATCTAAGATGGCTATAAAATTTTAACTTTGTAGAAAATAAGGTTTTTAAAATCTTTGAAAATTTTTTATCTTGATTAAATTATTATATCAAAAGTTATATCTATTAATATAAAACTATATAAAATTATATATTGAAGGAAAATTTTATACGTCAAATTTTGTAGATATGAGAGTTTAAAATCTGACCATTTTCATATCAAAAGCTCATACCAGCTACTTAAAAGTAGGGGTTATCTTTTCATTAATAGAAAGTGCCCCTACCACCTTCAGCATCTATTAAATTAAGGTTCATGCAATAAAATGGTAGAAAAACAATCAAGAGTATTTCAAGGCATCCAAGACTTCGTATTGAATAAAAAAAAGGATCTAGGAGGCCTCATGAACTTCACTTTCAAGGTTTGAATATGTATACCTTCTTAGCTTTGGAAACCCTCTTACTTTGGAAACCCCAATCTGAATTGATTATTGGTTTTGCCTACCTTTCCTTTTGTTTTTAGACCTCCTTAGACCAGAGCTGAAGTTTCAAAAACTTTCTAAATAGGACCCTTGCTCCTTAGCCTAAGTTTTCTTCTTCTTCTTTTCTTTCCCCTCTTTCCCTTTGTTTTTCT